CGGCAGGCAGGCAGCCCGGCGATGAATCCGACGATGCTACCTGTTACCTAGGATGCGACTTTGTGAATCATCCTAGGTCATTTCGGTTCAAATATTAATCCCAATATTATTCCAATAATATTTGCATTATACGGCCTTTGTGTCCGCCACTGAAGGTTAAAGCATACGAAGATTGGTAGCCTCATGGCTTCGGCCTGCGGGTGGAACATATTAGGCGCCTGGACTCCATTGGACTTCTTGTCCTTTTGTGTATTTTTCTTTCCATCTAATCGTTTCGACGTTTACGTGTTGCAGTTGGCATCATATCATATATAACTATCGTGATATGACAGAAATCATGTTCAAGTTTCCTTCCTCTTTCTCCCTTTTCACCTATCCCATACTCATCATTTCCACCTGAGACAAATATGCCTCGCGTTGTTGAACTTGCAAGATTCGGGACGTCAGAAGCGTATCAGAAAGATACTTCCATAATTAAACCTGCATTAGAATTTCTGTCTAAGGTCAAGGGCTGCAACGAGTAAGCTTTTCTCTTTTACTTTTACCGGTCTCTTAACGTGTCTTCATCATAGAATATTTCATGGATTGAAAGCTGAGGATCCGAACATCATGTTTCTCATCATTGGTGAGCATCGTTTTTATTACACGAGGAATCTGATTTCTGGCGATTATCTACTAATATCAAATGCCCTGCCATTCCTTCCTTAGTCTGGGATAGCGTTGAGATTCATCACGTATTCATGAACAACAAAGAATTGGCCGGCAAAGTCGGTCAACTTCTTGCTTCCAGTATCACGGAATTCAAGCCTCCTCTTCTCCATGCTGCTTTCAGTCCCGACTCTCTATCTCCATTCCGTGCACCCATCACAGAGTTCGCATACTCTTCCGTCAAGCCCGAGTTGATTGGAAATGTGGATATCAAGGAGGTCGAAAGCAGACTCCAAGTTGTTGTCGATAAGCGACTCGCTGATAATCAGAGTGCGGCATTGGGTAGAACACTGGAAGATGATAGTTTGACGGTTGGTATCCTTGGCTGGGACTCAGTACAGGTGAGTTCTCAGTCATCTATATTGTTTATTACTTCTAAATTACGTCCCCCTTTTGTTTCCGCTTTCCAGGCTCATATTGAGTGGGCTACGAAGGACCCTATCGGGAGCGACGTGGTAGGGAAGTTCGGCGAAGTGTCGAAGATTGTTTGCGAACATGTTGCCTTGAAGGAATTTTCTTGAAGAGAGTACAGGGATATGTATTACCAATGTAATATTCGCATCAGTTTTCACTATTGACAGGTTTCTCAACTAAGGGCCATACTTGCAATCCATTTCTAGGTTCGCACATAGCTTTGTATGGCAGCGAGCTCCTCCTATCAAGTGAAAATCACAGCTCTAGTACCGTCTGTTATACCCAGGGGAAAAATCTCGCGATATGTCGTCTATATAGGCAATCAACTGCGTACACACTGATCTTGGGTCTTCGGGTGTTCTAAAACCTCCTCGTTAGGTGCATCCTCGAATGTGAATATTGGTTTGTGTTAATTCGGGGATCCTTGGATTATCGGGAATGATTCGAGTTGAAGAATCAGTATTTGTGCTCATCTTTGGTAGAACGGAATGTGCTCTGAGAATTCACCATTGAATTTGGGCGTTATTCTGAATGGAGACTTAGTGTTTGGTAGCCTCGTGGCTTATATAGGCGCCTGCTCACAAACATTTCCTCCGGTTTCACATGTCGCCATCGTATTTTTATCATCCATACAGATTATGAAGCACAACATACAGCTTCAAGTTCCCCCCCACCCCCAGACCACACCCACAATCTCTAGTGCTCTAACCAACAGAACGATATGCCTGGTGTCGTAGAAATCGCCCGATTCCCAAGTTCTGAAGCATATCAGAAAGATCCATCTATCATCAATCCTGCGCTCGAGCTTCTTACCACCATCAAAGGCAGCCACGAGTAAGTGCTTCCTTTATATCTGTATATCTGCATCTGAATGTGCCCCTGTTGGTAGGATATTTCATGGATTACAAGTCGAGGATAAGAAAACTTTATATCTACTCGTCAGTGAGTCAATCTCATCAACATCCGCTATCAAAACCGCATTAATTGTCATTCGCTTGTCGGTATAGTTTGGGATCGTCTGGAGGACCACAAGAACTTCATAAACGATCCAGTAGCATACCCTTTGCTCGCCAAACTTCTCGGTCCGAGCGTTACAGCACCAGCTGTACTTCTCCACGTTCCTTTTACCTCGGACCCACTCTCCCCGTTCCGTGCTCCTATCACGGAATTCGTATACGCGTCCGTGAATGCTGAGTTAAGTGCGACCGTGGACATTAAAGAAGTTGATGCTCGCCTTCAAGCTGTCAGCGACAAACGGCTCGGCACTAAGCATGGCGCCGCACTGGGCAGAACGATTGAGAATGATGGTTTGAGTGTTGGTACGTTGGGTTGGGATTCAGTTCAGGTGATTCAAATACGAAACAATGACTAGTCTACCTGTCCTTCTGACTGTACTCGCGGTATCATCAGGAGCACATCGATTGGGTTACAATCGACCCAGAAGGTACTGCGGTAGTTGGCAAATTCAAAGAGGTTACCTCCATCGTACTCGAACATGTTCCCCTGAAAGCCTTCTCCTGAGATATATCGTGGAATAGGAATAGCATAAGTTGTACATCATGTACTCCTAGTAGGTCAAACATCTTGTAATATACAGGGGCATTTTATCCGATCTTAGTCGTGTTTTTGAAATGGTGTATGGCCTCCTTCCAAATGACACTGTGCATTGAATTCATTAACCTGCCTTACTCAGCCACTCACTTGATATGTTTCTAGCATAGTCGTTGACATCGACATTCATTTCAACTTGTGAGTGTTTTGGTTTTGCATTGATGCAATCCTCTCTGATCCTTCATGTATTCCAGGTCTACGTCGATGCCTGCAATGCCAGATCGCTGTATCAGTCAGCAACAACGCGACCGTCGAGATCCAATCTATAATTCACCTGTCCATTGGCTTTAACCGACACTATCGACATGAGTATATCCCGTCCCAACGGCCGCCTCATCTTCATCCTCATTCAGAGAATACGATCAATGTACGAATGCCGTGGACAAAATTACTTAGAAGCGTAATTCGTCTAGAGCATAAATCCGAACAGGCGGGTAATTACTAATACTTGTTCAAGATTCAACGGTAATTGTCTACTGACCACTAAGTATCTCTCGCACCATGCTTATGGTGTTGACAGATGCGTAACCAACAAAAAAAACCTTGCAATCTTTGGACCATTTTCTAGGCAAGTACCAGCTGCGTTGTATCGTACTCATGGTTCATTTGGTATATAACCTAGATATAGCGATGCAGCTTACCATCTCCAAGGGTTCTCCAGTTCTATCCAACACCATCTCTTATGCCTCTCGCCCCTGTTAACGACAACGGTGTATCGCTCTACTACAACGATACCGGTGTCCCACCTGGTTCGCCCGCTTATACAACCTTGGCCTTCATTCATGGTGGTCTGTTCAATGGAGGTGCTGTACACAAGATTCTCATTTCATCGAAATTTGTCATTCTAACAAGTCTATCTATTACTAGGGGTGTTTCAACGTGTAGCGTCGAACGCCGCACGTAATAATCTCCGCGTAGTCAGTGTAAATCATCGCGATGTTTTACCTTCTACCGCTTTTACCTTCGAAGAACTTCAAGTGTTCAAGACCGACGACCAGACTGTACACGAAGCTTGGTTTCATGACCGTCTTTTGGAATGGGTTAACTTCCTTGCGTACTTCGTGGAGAAGGAGAACATTCCTATTTACGATGAGCGGAAAGGAACAGGAGGGTTGTCAATCATGAGTTGGTCACTAGGGAATAATTATACGATTCCTTTGCTCGGATCCATCGACACGTCTTTCCCAAGTGATAAGACTGACTTTCTTGCGAAGTATATTCGCTCGTTTGTTCTATTTGGTACGTTCAATTGGCATGTCTTCACGAGATTTTCTCCTCACTAAAATTGCGGTGCAGATCTACCATATTACGCTATTGGTGAATCTGAACCGTCATACGAAGTCCTATATAATCCACTCTCCGATCCATCGTTCTCATTTGATACTCTTACAACCACATTTCTCCCATGGATGACGGGATATTTTACTCATTCTACCAAGATTATCTCGTCCTTCTCTCCTACCGCAACCCCAGACAGTATTCCATCCCGGGAGGAGATTTTGAAACAAGGATTGCTGAGCACGGTCCCCGACTCAGAACCATCTCCAACTCAGGATCGTATCCCACCCGAAACGGCCAAATCTATGACTTCGTCATCTGGAAAAGAGTCTGAACGTGATCCATCGGATCCCTTCCCCTTCATCACGAACTTGAGTCGCGAGATGTATCGTTCCTTCTCCGATCGTGCATTTTCCACAGGACCCAAGACGAACGAGAACTTGAAGTTGATATGGCCAAAGGTGAGAGTTAATGTGTTAGTCTGCGAGAGATCTATGGCGATGTGTATTCATGCGAATTTGGAGCTGAAGAGGAGGATCTGGGAAGCAGAGAGAGATGGATGGAGAGTTCCTGGTGAAGCTAGGGAGGTTAGGTTTTGGTTGTTGGAAGGTTATAACCATCACGTGAGCCTTTTTTCCTCCTTTGGCCGTTCGCATTGACCGCCACCTGATTTTATTCGTCTTCTGCAGCCGCATTGGGAGGAGCCTGAGAAGTTCACAAAGTTCGTTGCCGGCATCCTCTAAAGGCCTTAGATATATAATTTTCTCTGGAAGCGATAGGGTTTCGGGTGCTTCATTGTGTAACTTTCCACCCTGTAGGGAAACTTGTGGAATAAATTTTGCCTTTTCCTTTATTCTTTCTCTTCTCGTCATGAAAGACAACGCACAATATTCAAGCGAAATGATCAACGTGGAGGTTGTAACATCGTTGGAAGTTCAAGGTATCAGAACAACAATATTCTAGTATCTCACTTCAAGGCCTAGAACAAGTCCCTGGTAGTATATCGGCTAGTACACGCGCCTGTCATCTGTGCGCGCGAAAGCGGGGTTCGACTCCCCGCCAGGGAGTTCCTTTTTTCATACCTTCTTGTTGTTCGGCTTCGTTCTAGCATATTTAACTATCATGGTATAAACTCGCTCGTCGAGCGAACCTTCCCACTTTTATTCATTTTTAGGCCGCAAGATTCAAAGTAGGAGGAGTAGAGCGCTCGCAAGCTTCAAAGTTCAAACGCGCTCAGGCTGACGCGAGAGTCGCAACTTCTACCTTCAATCATGACTAGAAAAGGAGGTCCTTTTGTCTACTGAAAACAGTGGCCTTAGACATTCTTCACGGGGGTCACGTCGGATTTCGTGTACAGCCCGCTCAAGAAATTGGCTACTAAAACTCTTGGTGAGTCTTCCATCTTTGAGTCGTTATGAACAAGTCATTGCTTCAGCAGATTACTCTGTCGCTTTTGTTTCATTTTAAATTGTTTATCTTATATCACTGGTACTTGTCTCATCCAATGGGCTATCCGAGAGGGATGAGCAGCATGAATAACGCATGCCCCAAATTCATCTGCACAAGTTAGCCTGGTTCAAACCGTTGACTCAAAAGCCTATATGTGCTGGATGCCGTCGAAAGAGACTGCAGCTGAAGTCTATTGATCTACTAAGTCCATCCACAGCATCCCCTTCCCTCCTCAAGATACACCTCGAGAAACGTACCTTTCCTAGCGCTTTTTTAAAATTTTAGTCGTACTATCTCGAGCTCAAGGTCAGGTCGAGATGGATTTATTTACCACCCAGCGGCCAGTTCTTCTACAGCGTCCAACCTCGAGAGGCACACATTTCAAGCAGCGTTGCCCATCTATTCGTATCAAATAGAAGCTATTAGAAAGCTTCACATTGCAGATGACGCGCGTGTCGTCAAAAGTTTCTCCTCACGGTTATTTCCCTCCTGCTGAGAGAAATGGTTGCGTCATGGTATCTCCTAAGCTCCTTCATAAATCGGAAATTGAAGGTCAACGGAAAACTGGGGAAGACATGGGCGACTTGTAACTGGTATCCCTCACCATGACTGTTAGGGTGTCCTTTGATAGTACTAGTTCATTCTAGCAGAAATATTTCACTAATTTTAACTACAGGTATGCAACAATCTCCGGACATTCTGGAACAGCAGCACGAGCAATGGACTTAAACTAGAGTTTGATTCTCCACATATAGGCCTGATTCAATATGCAAAACTCGAAGCTTTGTATTTTTTGTGAGCGATGTATTCAATTCACAAGTCAAACGCTGATGTATCCACCAGATCACCCGCTGTTATCAGAACTTCTTCGACGGAGACATCAATGCCCGTATGACTCAGGACTACAGGATAAGTGAGGATAGATAGTTCCCCGAAATGAATTGAAGTATCGGACCACCGTCAAATGAACATGAGGCGGTTCTATGAGAGTATATAGTGGAATCAAGACATTTTCCCTCCATCCACAACTGACCCTCCAAAACTTTCGTTTCAATAGGTTATGCTTACAGGTTTGTTGCTGCTCTAGCAACCTAAGCCAAACATGACCGAGCATCTGACAGAGTCGAATTTGCATGAATTGTGAGCATTTTTTCCCGCTCGTTCTCTTTGCATGGCTGACATGTTGTTGACGAAAGCAACAACCACGTCTACTCTGTCTTTGGTTGTGCGGGTGAGTCACTCTCTGCTGGTTGGAAACAGGAACAACCATTGAATAGGATTTAATTCTCAAATAGTACTGGTGGTGTATGACACGTCCATTACTTTTGATAGAGAAATGGAGTACATATGGAGGTCGAAATTTAACCTTGCATCGTACATCTTTATCGCTAGTCGATACATCGGCATCCTAGCAGCCATTATAGGAATACTGGTTTCTATCGGACCAGTGGATGGAATTCTCGTGAGTCACAGCATCGTATCTAAATTGACATCGTTTCTAACGGCTTTGGCCCCTTCTCCTGAATCATATCGTAACTCTCGGACACGGATATGCCGTGATGTTCAGGTAGAGGTGAGTTGGCTTTGAATCATGTACATTTGACACATTCAAATTGTTCTTCACCATCTAGCTACGTCATTTTGAATGATATATGGTCAGTCACAAGGATAACAAGCATAATTACCACCTACCGTACGTGATTACAATTCCATGCGCTTGTCAGTACATGAATCTGTTCAACAGTGTTCTTTGTAATCCGGATATGGGCACTTTCGAGTCACCGCTGGTTAATTTTATTGATCCTCATACCGCCTGCGTTGGGTTATACGGTAGCTTTTACGGTTCGTGATTACTTATTCGCCAAAAATTCAAATCTCACGCCCGTTTCTTTTGCCAGTATCTCTTGATCCTCACTCGTGGCGATCTTCAGGTCTACGATGGAATTCATCGGGTTTCAAACCCTGCATCTTTGACACCCAACAGGTACGCACATCATTCTCAAATATAGTGAAAATACATGATTGACACTATCATAGTTGTACGTGATCAAGTCAACTGACTCTAAAGTTACATCGCGAAATATGTACTCACTTCTCCACTTTGAAGTGACCATGGCTTTGCAGGTCACCGAAACATGGTCTGGGATTGTGGTAATCACAAGTACTCTTATGAGAACGTTTGGACTATGGAGAGCTAGCAGAAAGGTGGGAATCAGAAGTCCTTTCGTCGGTTTGATCATTCGAGATGGTATGTCCGACGACAAATATGAAGATGATAAATCTGACAGATTGTTTGTTCTTCAGGAGCTATATATTCCTTGTGTGTCCAATCCCCAAATTCCTGCTTTCCAATGAAACTCATTAATCGATCACAGAGTGACAATCTTCTCGAGTGTCGTGGATATGATTCTGGATTGCAAGAGAGAGGTGAGTACCTCTCAGAATACTCTCTCTCAAATATTGACACTGTTGTCCATTCATCATGTTCAGCACAAGCTAAACGTACTTGGAACCTTTGGAGTGACGTGAGTTGCTACATCCCTTGGATACAATTGAGAATTTCCTTCTCATGCTGATTTCTTTCTCCTCTGATGATAGGATTGCTAGTATCTCGGTTTCTCGAGCGATCCTTGATCTTCGCTCTTTGCCAGCCACCAGTAGTGCCTCTGATGACGTAGGAGATGTTGACAACACCACACTTGAATTCGAGACATTGGAGTCCGAATTCTCGAGGACTTCAATCTTGTACCGTGACTGTCTCCCCGCTCGCAGTATGAATGATTAATTGATCATTTTCCCTAATGATTCATCGTGTTCAAAAGTTGCTTCTCGCTGACGATGATGGACGATTCTTTGGCGCCTTCATTCTGTTTTATGCTCGGCTTGGATTCTTGTATCATCAATCCTGCAATACTTCCATCTTCTCGTGATCCTCTCATAATATCGACACGGCGAGTCAATCGGTCTCTTGATTTAATATTCAAGCTTAAATCACATCAAAGTTCACACCAGGTCAGTCAACAAGATAGGGCGACACGCTGGATTGTCGTTTGCTCTAGCGATTCGGTGTTAGTGTCAATGAAGCTTCCAACACTTTCTCCTCCGAGAATCTTCGGGGTGTTCGAGGGTGTTATGTCTCTTCGAATGTTGTCCGATGCGCAAGAAACACTAATCATGCAGGTATCAGTCGTTCTCAATGTTGTTAATTAGAATACTCTGAATTCGCGAAGACTCAGATTGTAGGTAGACAAGCAACCATTCCTGTTGATAAACCAGGTTACATACTTATCAACGGTAAGCGAAGTGTGGGTTACAGGGACAGTGTTCGGTAGAAGAATCCGACGGTATTAAATAAGTAAGTCAAATGCTTAATTTGAATTTTATGTTTCAGGTCTTTCCAATATGATCTTATGATGTTCTCTGCATAAAGCATGAACCCTTGCACCAATCTCACTGAACGAAATCCCTACTAGAATCCCCATGATCGTACCAAGATACTCAAGTTCGTATCGTCACTTCCTCCTTCGAATAGGCATGCCTTCTGTACCTGTCAACGACTAAGGAGCAGAGCTCTACTACGATGATTCAGGTGCCCCGTCCAATGCATCCATTTATCCAACCTTGGTTGTCATTGACGGTGCTTTTTTCAATGGAGGTAGGTGAACTACAAATATATTTCATTATTCAGGTCGCGAATCGCCCAAATAACAACACACTGGGTCAGGGATATTCCAACGCGTAGCCGCAAATGCAGCATCTAACAACCTACGTGTACTGAGTATTTACCATCGAGACGTCTTACCTTCCACGGCATTTACGCCTGAGGAACTCCGAGTTTTCAAGAGTAACGATCCACGTGTACATGAAGCTTGGCTCGGTGAACGTCTTCTGGAATACGTCAATCTCCTCACTTACTTTGTGGAGAAGGAGAATATTCCAACCTACGACAAGGGCGAAGGTACAGGAGGATTATCAATAATGGGCTGGTCGGCTGGAAATTGCTATACGATACCTCTACTTGGATCCGTAAACACGGCGCTCCCAGAAAATAAGACAAAAATGCTTGAAAAGTACATTCGCACATTTATTCTCTTCGGTCAGTATTAAACATGTATATTCTCCTTTCGCTAACACACTATTGATAATGGCATTTGTAGATCTGCCATATCATTGCATTGGCGAACCCATGCCACTACTCACGGATCCGATGTCTCACAAATATCCCGAATCCTTCACCAAACTCGTACACTGGAACGCATCATACTACACACACTCTCCGAAAATTACTTCCTGCTTCTCCTCTACTGGTGTCAGTACTGAAGCAAATCTGGACTCCTTTCCAACTCGCGAGAAAATTTTAGAGGAAGGATTGCTTGGTCAAGTTTCCTATTTAGAACCAACCTGCACTAGCGATCGTATTCCACAGGAAATGATGAGTTCAATCCTGCAATCGTCTGGCAAGGAGTCAGAAATAAATTCATCTGACTCTCCTCCGATGACATTCCTTTTGAGCCCCGACATGTACCGCTCCTTTTCAGATCGTGCATTCTCTACAACGACAACTCGAGTGTCTGGCAGTACGGATGCCAATGAAGACAACGGTAACAGGCCTTGAACTTGGTTTGGCCCAAGATTAAAGTTGAAGTATTGGTTTGCGAAAGGACTATGCCGCATTGCATTCATGCCAATTTGGAGTTAAAGAGGAGAATATTGGAAGCGGAAAGAGACGGGTTGAGAAATCCCTGTCAACGTAGAGATGTTAGGTTTTGGTTGTTGGAGGGGTATAATCATTATGTGGGTATCTTTCTTTTCTTGTTTGCCATTTGACAGACTTACTACTCAGGATGCATGGTTTTGTGTAGCCTCACTGGGAGAATCCTGAATTTTTTACAAAGTTCATCACTGGTATCATTTGAAGTCTGACTTGTCACGACTCGTAACATTGGACACACTTCGCTTTCAAGTCAATCTAAACTTGATAGATTATCATGTTCTTATCCCATTTTAGTCACTTAAATTTATCGAGATCATAACCTGCTCGTATCTTCCAGAAATCTGCGCAGTCACAGAAACCGTCGTAGTACGTGTGGAAGGTGCTCCGGGTGCTATCAGAGTTTGCGAACGATAATGAATGAAGTCTATGCATAAAGAAGATACATCAACTTTACTCAGCTAGATACACACCAGTTTCATTAGTAGAGCCTAGAGGATTCCTGCGAGGAATTTCGTGAAAGTCTCCGGGTCATCCCAGTGTGGCTACGAGAGAAATACAGATAGACGTATTGAGCGGACAATCGTAAGCAAACTGTCGAAAGAAAGACACTCACATGATGGTTATAACCTTCCAACAACCAAAACTTGACATCTCTGGATTCACCAGGAACCCTTAATCCATCTCTTTCAGCTTCCAAGATCCTCCTCTTCAGCTCCAAGTTTGCGTGAATACAAATGGGCATTGATCTCTCGCAGACTAATACGTTAACTTTCGCCCTTGGCCATATCAACTTCAAGGTGTCCTTGTTCTCGTCTGCACTCTTAGGCGCAGTGGAGAATGCACGATCTGAAAAGGAGCGATACATCTCGGGACTCAAACTTGTGATGAGGGGAAGAGGATCAGATGGATCGCGTTCAGACTCTTTGCCAGATGACCAAGTGAGAGATTTAATCGTTTCGGGTGGGATACGGTCCGTAGTAGGAGACGGCTCTAAGTCTGGCTTTGAACCCAGCAACCCTTGTTTCAAAATCTCCTCCCGGGATGGAATACTGTCTGGGGTTGCGGTAGGAGAGAAGGACGAGATACTCTTGGGAGAATGGGTAAAGTACGCAGCGCTCCATGGAACGAATGTGGTTGAAAGACTATCGGATGAGAGCAATGGATCCGCGAGTGGATTGTATAAGAGCTCGTATGGCGGTTCAGGTTCACCTATAGCGTAATACGGTGGATCTGCATGACACAGTCGGTGAACAGGAAGTCTCGTGGAGAAATGTCAATTGGACGTACCAAATAGAACAAACGAGCGAATATACTTCGCAAGCAAACCAGTCTTATCACTTGGGAAAGACGTGTCAATAGATCCGAGTAAAGGAATTGCATAGTTATTTCCTAGCGACCAACTCATAAATGACAACCCTCCTGTTCCTTCCTGTTCATCGTAGATAGGGATCTTTTCCTTCTCCACGAAGTAGGCAAGGAATTTAACCCATTCTAAAAGACGATCGCCGAGCCAAGCCTCATGGGCTTTTCTATCGTTGGTCTTGAACACTTGAAGTTCCTCGGAGGTAAAAGCGGTAGAAGGTAAAACATCGCGATGATTTACACTGACTACGCGGAGATTGTTACGTGCGGCGTTCGATGCTACACGTTGAAATACCCCTAGTAATAGATAGGCTCGTTAGAATGCAGAGACGTGAGAATGTGAGATCTTGTGCACAGTACCTCCATTAAAAATACCACCATGAATAAAGACCAAGGTTTTATAAGTAGTCGAACCAGCGGGGGCACCGGAATCGTCGTAGTAGAGCGATACATCGTTGTTATTAACAGGTGCGAGAGGCATAATGGGGATGCTGTTGAATATAACCGGAGAATAGTTGTTGGTGAGCGTAAACTGATTCACTACATCCAAGTTATATACCGAACGGTATACATGAACATAACGAAGCCGATACCTGCCTAGAAGATGGTCCGAAGATTGCAATATTCTGTGTGTTGGTTACGCCTTTGATGTTTGAATAGTCAGCACACCATGAACATGATGTACCGGAATATTTCACTGCCAGAGGTGGTGGTAAGTACAGGATCTCTCTCCAACAAGGATTAGTAATTACCCGTCTGTTCGGATACGTGCTTGAGACGAATATGCTTTTGAACTATTTGCCCACGACATTCGTAATTGACTGCATGAAGATGAAGGTGGGACCGTTGACACGGAGTTATACTGATGTCAATGGTGTCGGTTAATGGTCAGGTGCACAATGAATGGAGCTCAACAGTTGGATTGTTGCTGACTGATACAGCGAGCCGGAATTAAATGCATCAGCTTTGACCTGGAATACATATGGTTGAAGGATCAGAGAGGATTGCATCAACGCAACACAAGCGCACTCACAAATGACTGTCGTCGCTAACGACTACGCTTTTCGAAGCATCTGAAGTGAATGGCCAAGTACGGTAAGTTAATGGATCCAATAGACAATTGCATTCTGAATCGGAAGGATGCCATACACAATCAGCCATCTCAAAACACAGTCAAGATCGGATAAAATGCCCTTATATTACAAGAAGGATGACCTACTAGGAGAATATGGTCTATGACCTCTGCTATTCCTATTCCACGATATGTTTGAGGGGAAAGCTTTCAATAAGACATGGTCGAGCACATTGGAGGTAATTTCTTTGAATTTGCCGACTACCGCAGTACCTTCTGCGTCGATTGTAATCCATCGACATGCTTCTAATATTATTGTATAGTCAGCACGACGGATTTGTTAATCATTTTTTCGTATTTGGCTCACCTGAACTTGATCCCATCCAAGTGTACCAACAGTCAAATCGCCGTTTTCAACCATCCTGCCCAGTGCGGCACCATGCCTAGTACTGAGCCGTCTATCGACTATAGTTTGAAGGGGTGCATTAACTTCTTGAATGTCCATAGTCGCACTCAACTCAGCATTCACAGACGCGTATACGAATTCCGTGATAGGAGCACGGCACGGGGAGAGTGGATCCAAGGTGAAAGCAACATGAAGACTCAGACTGAGAAGTTTAACGAGCAAGGGGTAGGCTTCTGCGAAGTCCTTATTGTCTTCGAGATAATCTGAAACTAGACAGAAGTCAAGAACACGCTTTCTAGTTGAGAAGATCAACTTACCGAAGAGTAGATATATAAGTTTTCTTGTCCTCAACCTGATCCATGAAATATTTTACCAACAGGGGCACATTCAGATGCAGATATAGAGATATAATAGGATGCACTTACTCATGGCTGCCTTTAGTGATAGTGGTAAGAAGCTCAAGAACAGGATTGCTGATAGATGGGTATTTCCGATATGCTTCAGAACTTGGGAAATTGGGATCGGGTGATTTCTATGACACCTGGCATGTCTGAATCGTTCTGTTAGTTAGCAGTAGAGATTGCAGGGGGGAAACCTGAAGCTGTATCTTCTGCTTCATGGTGTATACGGACGATAAAAACACGATGTCCGAGTTCATTGTCGACTCCATGCAGTGAAACCGGAGGAAATGCTCAATTTGACAAGGCCTATGGAAATCCAAAAGTACGAATATTAGACATCTAGGTCGTACAGAAAATATGGAAGTCATTAGCATAAAAGACCTACCTATTTATCTAGCAAAATTGAACATAATCATCCTTTAATGAGCGTTGAGAGGTACTACGTGTGCAGTCGAAAAGAGAAAACCAAGAAAACACTCCCTGGCGGGGAGTCGAACCCCGCTTTCGCGCGACCATGCAACATACATCCAGATTATGACAGGCGCGTGTACTAGCCGATACACTACCAGGGACTTGTTCTAGACCTTTGGAAGTTATATGTAGCCATACTGACATCTGATGCACGTCTGCTCAGATCTTGAATAGAAAGTAGTAATAAAGGCTTTTATGACCATGAGTACAGTGTTTCTAATGTTTGAATTTATAATGGCTTACTATGTTACGGTCACGGTACTTGGAGTCTTGGAGGATTACAAGTTTAACCGAGTCCGAAAAGAGCCGAGACTGCATACCCAACCAATGACATCACGCACAGACCAGGCACTCATATTAGCCCAAAGTTGCGTATCCTCAACGACCTCCTCCTCTTTCTCATCGACCACCACGACCTCCACGATGTTGACCACTCTCGCACGCACCGTTGCCCGCCCCCGTCTCGCCACCGCCTCTCTTTCTCTCCGAGCTGCGAGTGCTTCCGTGCACACTTTGCCTCCTCTCGACTATGCCTACGACGTACGTATTATACATATCAAGCCCAAATCCCCCCCCCTTTCCTGTTTATGACTGCGACGAGAATGCTCATGTTTCTGGGTGTTTTAGGCTCTTGAACCTCATATCTCAGGCGAGATCATGACTTTACATCATACCAAGCATCATCAAACCTATGTCAATGGCTTGAACGCTGCTGAACAGTCCTACGCTCAAGCTCCTACACCCAAGGATAGAATCAAGCTTCAGGCTGCTTTGAAGTTCAACGGTGGTGGTAAGTATATTCTTCTCTGATACTTTTTATATCTCCTGTTCTCTTCTCGGACGAGTTTTATCAGAAACGTTTGTTTATGCTTTGAAATCTACAGGTCACATCAACCACACACTCTTCTGGAAGAACCTTGCTCCATCATCTCAGGGTGGAGGACAGCTCACTGATGGTCCTCTCAAGAAAGCTTTGGTGGATTCTTTTGGTTCAGTCGAAGGTACATCTTTGAATGCTTTCATGTTCTTCTGCTAATTTGAATGCTTATTCCTGTCTTCCTAATCACGCAGCCTTCAAGGAGAAGATGAACGCTAAGACCGCGGCCATTCAAGGTTCAGGATGGGGCTGGTTGGGATACAACCCTGAAACCAAGAATTTGGAGATCGTTACTACTGCTAACCAGGATCCTTTATTGAGTATGTGTCAATTCGTTTCCCCGATTGTTATCCTTTTGACATCCTCTTATTTTTGTAGCTCACACCCCAATCATCGGTATTGATATCTGGGAGCATGTAAGTAGATTTTACCCTCCCTCCTTCTACTCATCTGACTGACCAAAACTCTCATCGTTCAACAGGCTTTCTACCTCCAGTATAAGAACGTCAAGGTTGACGTAAGTTCTCATCTATCTGGTTCTTAAGAGATACTTATACTGATCTTATTCTGCAACAGTACCTCAAGGCCATCTGGAATGTCATCAACTTCAAGGAAGCTGAGAAGAGGTTCGTTGAGGCCACACAATGAACGTGTCTCAACGAGGACTATCGGGGGAATAAAATGAAGGACGCATAGACCAATCATTGTGTATACAACCGTTAGTTGAAACCGTGACGCGATCTTTGCATCCTGCTTCGTTTCATGTGGATGCAGCCGTTACACTATCGTATCGACGTTACAAATAGAACGATTGGAACGAAATAATTCAGACTGAGTGTGTGTACATAATCGTGGGAACTTGAATGTGCTGCCGGCTTGACTTTCTTAGAGAAAAAACCTCACTCCTGCTCCTCCACTTCGCATATGCATATATGTCCTGTCCACGCAAGATGGATTGCTTCGCATTTCATGCTCAAAGTTTCGATGAACCAAGTCTTGCGCACTGCGACTGAACCATGAATTTGAGAAAATCGAATACCACCCCGGAAGAAATGCCTTGGGATCGTGTCGGAAATCTCGAATACGACTCATTGTCGTACGCATTCTACGGACAAATTTTCAGAGGCTCGGACACTTCATAGCACATATTCTAACCAAGCCTATAGCAAGTGACTTTATCCACTGATCTTACATGGACTGGAGCTCGAGGTCGAGGAAAGGAAATCAATCAACGATGTTCTACGAAACATTCAAAGACCCCAAGACGTCTTTACTACCGATTTCAGGTTAATCGTGGACAAGGACATCGAATCGTGTCTTCGGAATTGGAAACGTGGATTCGATAGCACGTATCATGGTTTCAAGCCTTTAGAGACTCACTACTTCATGTATGACGCTAGTATGGATGGCCGTTCCAGACTCGTAGTATCCCGACGAAGCTATCTGAAATCTCGGTACCTCAGGTTGAAGGGAATTCAAGTCAAAATCGTCAATTCCCTGCTCATGCTATCTTCGCACTTGGATGGAATCCTAGAAATCTACGGCTTCGTTTTTCCAGACGCAATGTCAGAAGCAAGGTCAATTTTCCATCTCTCTCAGAGTCTTTTAATGAACAGGTTCATCTGGATGGTGTGGAGTCAGTACTCGAGTACAGTTGAAATCAGTGGAGGATGATACATTTTTCTCTGCGATATCAATCCCAAGTTCTCAACCCCGCCACCGACAAATGATTCAAAGAGATCAGAGAACTTGGACGGTGTCTTTGAGTTGGCTGCCTCAGACATCGTCGGCATTACGAAAGATCCAGTAACAGACGACGAGAAGACGATTCTGATGAACACCAGTGTCTAGTCTAGTGCTAGTATGTGTTCTATATGTACAACGTGTTCAGCAGTTGTCAATCACAAGTTCACACTGGCCGTGCCCGACATCCTTCTCTAGCCCCTATAGCGTCTGGAGCAGTGCTAGCAACAGTGTAGACTCGGTGAGCGGCAACTTGTGTATGACATCATATCCACTACTAACGCTAATATAAAGTTGGAAGACAGCTACAGAGACCCCCCTGAATCCACAATACTACTACTACTGTCACACTACCCATCCAAATCCTCCATTCAAACCTGCACTTTGCAATTTTGTCTCTTTAATACTTTGAATCACTCACTTTACCATGAGTCACCTTACCTCTGACAAGAATACCCCAACCAGCACCGGAAAGGTAAGTACAAAGCCATCTCGTTGTTGACTGTGTTCTCATGTTTGATTCAATCTACGAAAATTCAGCCGCTAGGCTCGCTCGTACCTACTCAAGAAAAGATTACGGTAACAGAGAGGAAGGTTTCAACGAAAGTAAGTAACCTACCACTTAAGGTACTTCTACAAAGCAAAAGACACGACTTATCTTGATGTCTGTTTAGTTCTCCTATCTCATACCTCCCCAAGAAGAAAAACAGTCGGTTGAGATTCCAGGACATCCGAGTGAGTCTTCTATTTCATCGAGTAAACATGATCGTGTCTAAGTTCGAATTATTCTCCCTCCATCGTTAGGCTTGTTGGAAAGAGGTACATCTCGCCCTTCCGTGTCCATTTTTTGTATCAACGGGCTAACCATGAATTTTATTATGTCTTCGTCAGGAATTCATTACTTCCAAGAACAATCAGCTAAACATCCTCTGGAATACGTTACGGACTCTGACACCTTAGGCGGTGCCAGCTTAATCCAAGAGTTAGCGAGAGATAAAGCAATCTCAGATGCAGTTCGAGCAGGAGCTGCGGGTGTTACTGGGGAAGATTTTGGCATTGACGAGAAGCGAAGAATTTATTGAGCTGGCTCCGGTTACCAGGGGGTATGAGTATCTCATATTCGAAGGTTAACCATTAATCGGCTGTTGGGCTGGAGCGGAATCGTCGAACGAACGAATGTACAATTATATACACACCTCTCTTGTAAAACATCTTGCAAATATATGTATCAATAGTTTCGAAATATCTCATTTTGTCATCGGTTAGTTACTTGAAGCTTGAGGAACCGGATTTTTCACACTTTCACGCTCGAGAAAAATTGGGTGGAGAGTTGTGTTGCTCTATGTTGAGCAACACCAGAAGAATAGCGGAATCTTCATTATGCCACCCAAAAAAAAAAAGGAGAGAGATGAAAATGAAAAAGAGAAGAGAAGAGACCAGGAAAAAAAAAACTAGACTACGAGAATAAATGAGAAAATAAAGATATGCGCTTTGGACTGGTGAGTTTGCGCGATGAGGAGAAACTGACTACTCAGAGACTGTTACTAATGCTACAGAGTTTAAAAGATGATGGAGGTCCGTTTGTTGGAAGAGTCCGAGAATAATGTGAATGCAGAAAGACGGAGATGAGGAAATGAAGAATGAAGAATGCGAAGAATGTCAAAATGATACGAGGATGAGATTGTGATGAAATGAGAATGGAGACGATGAGATGGAGACGATGATGAACAGAGAGATGGAGATATGAGAGCAAAGGATACAATGAAAAAAAAATGATGTGACGGGAATAGTATGTGATGTAGAAATGAGAATATAAGGATGTAGAGAAAGAGAAAGAGAGAAAAAAGAGGATGAGAAACTCTATAGAAACAATATGAGAGAAAAAGAAAATCAAAAAACGATCTACGCGGCCGTTACCGTTGTTGGTGCAGCTCCCTTCGACCACCACCCTCTCACTGCTTTCGAACAATCCCTTGCGAGGAGTTTAGGAAGGAGTTTAGCAACAGCCGCAACATCACGAAGATCTTCACGATCAATCAAGGCGACATCAGCAGGTCGACGATATTGATACTGAGGTACCGGTTGAGTTGGAGGTGGTTCATAATGAACACTTTCTTCCTCCTCTTCGAAATCTGGAGAAGACGATGTTCCGTATTGATCAGAACCTGCATCGGACGAATCGTCCTCTTCAGAACCGTCTTCCTCGTCGTATTCGCCATCTTGATCCTCTTCATGATGTTCGTATCCGTATTGGCTGCCGACCTGGTATTCCTCTGGGTATGTCGAAGAACCTTCTTCAGATGCGTATTCAATAGAAGAATCTGTATCATAGACATCTAGGCCATCTTCCGTTCCATCTTCGAAGTCAGATCCCATTGACAACGAGCCCTCTGAAACTGTTGTAGAATCAGAATACCACGAACTTTCAGTGGATTCGGATGGGAGATACGAGGACTAATGAGAAAAAACGAGGTCAGAAAT